TCCTAGTAGAAACAGGGCCTCTTAGGACCGCGGGCACCACCCCCGTTCCCACCATTGCCACCAGGGCCTCCATGGCCTCCATTGGCTTGATCTTTCTTCTCTTGATTTGCCAAGAACCCAATACCACTTCTATCCATCTTCATCACGGTGTTCATAAGTAGCTCACTTTAGAGATATTGGCCTCTTGTGAACTTGCTCAAACCAGTCTTGAGATGCTCTTTCTCCAACTTGAGTTTCTTGTTTTCTTCTCTAAGTTCATCATGATTCTTCTCCATCTTAAGTCTCTTGTTCTCTTCTCTAAGCATCTCATTCTCAAGAGCCATATCATGATCATTGTCAAGATTCTCTATCACAATTGTGTTGGTGGTTGATAGCTTTTCAAGATCCTTCTTGAGCTTTTCATTTTCATTCTTGAGCTTGACATAATCATCATAGTTGTCGAATTCAACCACTTTCTTGCCTTTGCTACTAGAACCTTGCTCAATGCTCTCAACAATCAAGTCAGCACATGATGTAGCTATATCAATCTTAACAACATTGTTAGTAGCATCATGTGGCTCATTGGACAATAACTCATGAGAAAGAACAAGATTGTCATGATTAATCTTGAGATTGGCGTAGTCTTCTTTTAGCAAGTTGTAGCTAGTGGTGAGCTCATTGTGTATCCCCTCAAGTTTATCATGTTTTTCTCTAAGCTCCCTTTTAGAGGTTTTGAGCTCCTTGAGTTTGGATGACACAATTTTATTCTCTTCTTTAAGCTCATCTTTAGCTTTTTCGGCTATGTCATACTTTGCTAAGAGTGAGTCATTCTTAAGTTCTAGTTTCTCATTTTTTTGCTCTTGTCTTTCTAATAATTTTAGTGTATTGGTTTAACAATTTGACAAGATCATCATAAGAAGGTGATTCAAATTCTTCATCACTATCACTACCATTCTCATCATCACTAGCATTGTCATCACCATTACTATTATCATTATTTTGTACCTTTCGTTCACCCTTAGCCATGAGGCATAAATGTGTAGAGGATGATGACGGTGGTGTCGGTGGAGATAGTGAAGAACCAATCACAAGAGCAGCCACCTTCTCCTTCTCATTTTCACTTTCATCATTGGATGAGACACTTGATGATTCAATGTTCGTGAGCCAATCACCAACAATATAGGCCTTGCCATTCTTCTTCTTCTTCTTGTGAAATTCCTTCTTCTTGCCATCTTTCTTCTTGTATGGCTTGTTCTTCTTCTTTTCATCATCATCATCACTTGAGTCATCTTTCTTGCCCTTGTACTTCTTGTCTTTCTTGGGTTTAGGGCATTGATGAGCTAGATGACCAAGATCTCCACAATTGTAGCAATCCATTTCGGAGATGGGCATCCTTCTACTACTAGTGAAGAATTTATTTTTCTTGCAATCAAACTTGACACCATTCTTGTTTAGCTTCTTAAGCATCTTGGCGGTTCTTCTCACCATGAGAGTAAGGCTTGCATCATCAATCTCATCATCACTTGAGCTATCATGATCAACTTTTGCTTTGCCCCTCTTCTCTTGGCTAGCCTTGAATGCCAAATCTTTCTTCTTGGTGGAAGAAGAAACATCTTGTGGAGTGATGTGCATGTACATCTCATGTGCATTGATCTTCCCCAATATTTGAGTTGGCGTAGAGGTGGAAAGATCATCTTGATGAAGCACCATCACAATATGCCCATACTTGTCAATGGGGAGGACACTCAAGATCTTTCTCACAGCATCGGATGGTTGCATTTGAGTGAGTCCAAGCCCATTCACCTCCTCTACAAGAACATTCAAGAGTGAATATATTTCATTAGCACTTTCACTAAGAAGCATTTCAAATGAATTAAGATTCTTCATCACAAGGTGATAGCGTTCCTTACGCTCACTCTTGGTTCCCTCATGGAGAATGTCCAACCATAGTGAATGGGTGTCTTTGTGGTTTCGCATACGGTTAAAGACATCCTTGCAAAGGCCTCTAAAAGGGTCTTTCTAGCTTTTGCATTCCACTTCTCATAGTGAACCTCATCGCCTTGAAGGTTGGTAGGATCCTTAGGTTTTGGGAAACCTTGTGAGGCGGTTCTAAGCACCCCAACATCTAAAGCCTCTAGGTACGCCTTCAGCGAATTTTTCAATAAAGAAAATCATCTCCCTCAAAGACAGGAGGGGGTCCATCTCCGAGGGACATCTTGCTCTAGGTGATTAAGCCTAATTTAAGGAGCACAAGGCTCTGATACCAATTGAAAGGATCAAGATGCCCAATAGGCGGGGTGAATTAGGCTAATTCTAAATTTCTTACAATAATTAAGCCCTACACTTAGCCCATTTCACCCTCTTGTGCCTAGAAGTGTTTCTATTGTTCTACTGCACAAAAGTTTTGCACACTAGGTTCCAATCCTACTCTAGCATGGCAATTCTAAGAATGTAAAGATATGAAATGAATTGCTCAAATGTAAATGCTCAAGGTAAAGAGAAGGAGAGGAACGCGATGATGTTTTTCCAAGGTATTGGAGAGTCGCCACTCCCCACTAGTCCTTGTTGGAGCACCCACGCAAGGGTGTAGCTCTTCCTTGATCCGCGCAAGGATCAAGTGCTCTCTACGGGCTGATTCTTTGACACTCCGTCATGATGAATCGCCTCAACCACTCACACCAAGACTTAGGTCATACACAAGCTCCGTCGGATGATCACCAAGCTTCCAATCACCACCGAACCATCTGGGTGTTGGTGATCACCAAGAGTAACAAGCACGAACTCTCACTTGACCCAACCAATCTTAATGAGAATAGTGGATGCACACTTGCTACTCTCTATGCACTAATGAGGGCCTTAATCTTGGATTAGCAAATCTCAATCACCCCACTAGGCTCTTGCTCTCCCTTGCATACCAAATGGTTTCCTAAGCTGAACAAATGGGCAAGAGAACCTCAATACACGAGATGGAGGGGTATAAATAGGCCCAAGCCAAGAAACTAGTCGTTACACTCCAACTTAGCAAAGTCGGGGTCACTGGATAGCAAGGTGGCACACTGCCACCCCCTGTCCGGTGCCACTCCAATGGCTATTTTTCAAGTGACCATTGCTGGGCTGGCACTGCCACCCTCATGGCAGTGGCACCGCCACCCTAGGGGTGGTGACCAAGCCCCCTAAGCACCCCTCTTTGGAAATAAATGGTAGTGACACCGCCACCCTAGGGGCGGTGCCCTGTCCGGTGACCAAGCCCAAGTACCCAGCCTCTAGATAAAAGGGGCGGTGGCACCGCCACCCCCATGGCGGTGACTAGGGTAGAGCACATCACCCTGTCTACTGCCACCAGCGTTGTAAACTTCCCATTAGATCATCGTTTCGAATCGCTTTCCAACTTCCGATGATCTTGGGCTTCCTCTGAGCTACCTAGCACGAGATTTAGCAAATGTGTAGTACATTCTTCACACTAGACACGCCTAGTACAAACTACCCATCCATGGCCCTCTTTATAGTATAGCCAAAGGAAAAACAAAGTCCTATAACTAATCCAAGTGTCTCTTAATGCCAAACGACACTTAGAACTAGTCAGTCCTTAACCTTGTCGTCCATCCTTTGAAAACCAAAATGAATGCCATCGTTAGGGGCCTGAATACCATAAGTGCCCAATCATTCACCATTACCATGACCTAACTTATAATGCCTCTACAAAACACACATTAGTCATGGTAATCTTGTGTAGTCATTAATCATCGAAACCCAACTAGGGGCCTAGATGCTTTCATTGTGATCTAGCTTATTTAGGGTTTCAGTTCTATTTAAATTCTCTGCAATTGATATGTGATGAGAAGACAAGCACTTATGTGAACTACCTGATGTTGTGGTGAGAAAGTTAGTATTTAGAGTTATCTAAAAGTTAGTATTTTGGCATGACATGTTTCCTGCATTTTCTTTGATGAGAAGACTACATGATGCTGTGATGAGAAGACTACCTGATGCTGTGATGAGAAGACTAGCTTATTTAGAGTTATCTAAAAGTTAGTATTTGGCATTATATGTTTCCTGGATTTTCTATTTCAACATTGCAGTTTCAGTTAACTGTTTCAGTTAACTGAATGTTAGTTCAGGCTTCAGTTATCTTATTCTAAATGTTAGTTAGTTGTAATTTAGTGTAAGTTAGTGTTTGGCATATGTTCAGGCTTTATTTACCTTAGTTTAGAAAATAGCATTGTCAAGAATTTACTGGCTTCAGTTTTAGTTTCAGCATTGTCAAGAATTTAACTGAATTATTTCTGTGCATATATGTAGGCTCCTAATTTTAGGCTCCCTCCAGGTACCATGCATGAGGCCCTGCTAGCAATGGTTATGAAACCACTACATGAAAAGCTCTTGGCTATTCACTAGATGCTTAACGACGTCAAGGAGTTGCTGAACAATCAAGCTATGGAAATACAAGAGTTGAAGAAGATGCATGCTGAGAAGGAGGAGAAGGGACCTACTAAGGAGATGGTGGACACCATGGGTGCCTAGCTAGTGGCTGTGACTCAGAAGTTGGAGGGCCTAACCAAGGAGGTGGACGATGTCCTGTCTAAGAAGCCAAAGTGATCATGCCACTGAAACAGTGATGACCTTAAGTTACCTTAATTAATATATGTACTGTGTGGTGATATGTTGTATAGACACCGACTCATCTTTGTGTGGTGATATGTTGTATGGACACCTTAAGTTAATTAGCTATTTTTGTGCTGGATGCTCATGTATGGACACCTACATGTTAATTAGCTATATATGTGTGTGTTGCTCATAAGTGTGTGCTGCTCCTGTGATATGAATGGATGATTATGTGTGCTGCTCATATGTGTGCTGATATGACACATCAAATTCTAGCAGCATATATACCCTATGCATGTCATGAGACAAATGAAATGAAGTAGTCTTGATAAGCAAATTTCAGCATACATCCACAAGGTACCATACACATTACAAGGAGTTGTGGGGTTAACATCCTAGACTAGATGACATGAACTTATCTAGTACAATTTACATATCATTCTACAATTTACATCCTTGATGACATGAACTTCTCCCATTAGCCAGAATCCCTTCCTGAAAGTTCCTGAAAGTAACATCACATTGTAAGTAAGAGAGACGACAAATATATATTGTTAACTAAAAAATGAGATTGCACATTGTTCAAAAACTCATATGAGCATCTTTTTTTGCGTACTTGCTGTTTTCGGCGTCTTTTTGCCACAGGGGCAACCTCTTTACGACCATCTCTTAGGTATGGAGTTAGCTCGCTCACCAAAATCACAGGGAGGATCGGAAGTATCCAAAGGAGGCACTTCATTGGATTGATTGAACTCTTCCTCGTCCACTAGATTTTCAAGTCTGACAACCCACTTTTTCCTAGGGAGAACCACTTGTCATTTCTTGTTTCTAGTGTCATGCACATAGTAGACTTGGGAAACCTGACTTGCAACTACAAATGGCTCATCCCTGTACCTAACTTGGTTGAGGTCAACCGTAGTGAAGCCATACCCGTCTTTCATGACACCCTGACTTCCCTAAACCCATCGACACTGAAAAATAGGCACCTTGAAGCCTGCATACAAGAGTTCCCATATCTGTTCAATCTGACCATAGTACGCTATCTTCTGCATCTTGCTATTAAATGCATCTACATGAACAACACTGTTCTAGTACATGCTCTTCTTGTCTTGATCAATGGTGTAAAAGGTATATCCATTTATGTCATAGCCTTGTTAGGTTGTGACTGTGAAGAAAGGCCCCTTTGCCAGCATTCGAAGCCTTTTGTCTGTGCAAGAGGTTGAACTGGTAAGTCGATCTCTAAACCAAATGTTGAACCCACTCATATGTGCCCTCACTAACCAAGCTTTGCCCTGGTGCGGGTTTTGTTGTCTCAACATCTCCATGTGCTCTTTGATGTAAGGTTCCACCTCGGCTGTGTGTTGCAACACTAGAAAGTGGGCTCGTTCATAGGCATCTCTCCCTAGAGTAATGTGCTTCTCCCCAACACACCCTCTGCCTGCAAGCCTTCCCTCGTGGTGAGACTTGGAGATGCCAATTGGATTGGTGGGGTCCATGTAACCGAGGCACCAGTCGACCACCTCCTCAGTAGAATAGCACTGTGCCATGCTTCCCTCAAGATGGACCCGACTCTTAGCATACCTATTTAGAGTGCTCATAAATCTCTCATACGAATACATGTGGTGGAGGAACATCAGTCCAAGATACCTGATCTCCTTAACCAAATGTACAATGAGATGGACGGATATGTCAAAGAAAGTCAGCGGGAAGTAAGCCTCAAGGAGACACATCACCTCAATCCAGTGATTGTTCATCAATGACCTTCTAAGAGATTACATTGAAGAAGGAGCAGAGGTTCATGATTGCCATTCGGGTTTTTTTGGCAATATGTTTCGGATACCAACTGCAAGCATCGTTGTGAGCATGACATCGCAATCATGAGCCTCCATGGGAAGCATCTTGTTTTCTCTTGCAGGCACAAGCTTTTGGATGTTGGCTGTGTATCTAGAGGGGAGTTTGACACTATGAAAGAAGTCGCACAATTCCTGCTTCTCTTCTCGGGTCAGGTTTATGGCAGATAGATGTGGTTGGGCACTGGTACCATCAGGACAGAGCTTGGGCCTTATGTCCAATTTCTCTAGGTCAGCTCTTGCTTTTGCATGGTCCTTGGTTTTCCATTTGTCATTCATGAGTGTCCCAAGCAAACTCCCACAAACATTCTTTTTCACGTGCAAGAGATCGATGCTATGGCGGACCGCTATGTCTTTCCAGTAAGGCAGTTCCCACAGGATTATCATTTTCTTCCACCTCTTCTTATTAGCACTCTTTGCTTTTGCACCGCGCTTTCGCTTTCCAAGGACAGTGCTCTCCAGGTCAACTTTAGGCGTGGTATCCTCTACCACCTGGTCATATACCTATTGCCCGCTGAAATGCCTTGGTGTAGATCATGTCTCCCTAGTGCCATCAAACTGATGTTTCATCTCTCAGTATGGATGAGACTTAGGAAGGAAATGTTGGTGCCTTATATAGACCCTCTTTTTTGAGTTATTTAGCCAAACAGTCTCCGTGTCATCTAAGAAATGAATGCAGTCTTTTTCTCCTTTGCTCTACCTAGACACGCTACGATGTCCTAGAATATCAGTGATAGTGGTGAAGAGCATGGCACGTAGGTTGAAATGTTCTTTCCTGAACCCATCGTACACCCTAATACCCCCTTCTTTCTAGAGTTCCTTGAAATCATCATTAAGTGGCCTTAGATACACGTCAATGTTAACACCTGGTTGACACGGACCAGATATCAGAACTGACATCATCATGCACCTCCTCTTGTTACACAGTCATGGGGGAAGGCTGTAGATAGTTAACAGCATGGACCAGACACTATGTGAGCTACTCATGTTACCAAATTGGGTTCATGCCATCCGTGCTGAGTGCAAACTGAAGATTCCTTGGCTCATCAGCAAAAGTTTAATTCTTGAAATCAATGACCCACCACTGAATACCATCTGTTGGGTGCCATATGTAATCATCAACCATCCACCCATCCAAGTGCCAGCTCAACAGTCGTACATCCTTGGAGGTTGCAAACAAACATTTCAGGTGAGGAATTATAGGGAAGTACCAAGCAACCTTCCTAGGAACTCTATGGCGCATCTCCTCGCTGTCATCACCCTCGTCAGTTCTTCGCTTGTAACTAGAGGTCCCACACTTAGGGCATTCAGTGAGGGCAGGATTATCACCATGGAACAGGATGCAGTCATTCTTGCAAGCATGAATTTTCTCAAACTTCAATCCCATCGAACAAACAATCTTCTTGGCCTCATATGTAGTCCTATGTATTTGATTACCCTCAGGAAACATATCTCCAAGAACTTCTAGCAATTCTTTGAAGCCCTTGTCAGTCCAGTGATGTACCGCCTTCAGTTGGAGAAGCTTTAGTGAACCCCTTGCAACTTGGATAGAGTGGTGTCTTCATATCTTCCAACAGCTGCTTTAGCTTCTTGAACTCTGAACCAGTGTACTCATCAAAGCCAAAGGCATCATGCACCATCTCCTCTAGATTCTCAACCATAGGGACAGGGCTGGCAGCAATCTCTGCTACATCATCATCACATAGTTCCTCATTGCCAAAGGGTGCTTCCTCATTGCCACTGGCACAAGTTTCATGAAGTCCTTCCTCACCATCTCGCTCATTGACACCTTCTTCTCCATGTTTGTTCCAACATCTATAGTCATCCATGAATCCTCGAAGAATTAGGTGGGCATGGACTGACAACTAATTCGAGTACTGTTTCTCATTCTTATAGTCAACACATGGGCACAACATAGATGACTTTGTCCATTCCTCATGTCCGCCTCTGCAACAGCTTGGAAATATTTTAGTCCTTCCAAGTACTCATTACATGTATGGTTCTAAAATACATCTAGTGGCCTTGATCCTCCATAGTCTACAAAAGAAGATTGAAAATGGAAGAATATAAGCAAATTCATCAATGCTTTACTAATAAAAATCACATTTTTCCAGAAAACTTAGTTCACATTGCAAGTTTCACACAAGCAAATTCATCACAGTTTCACACAAGCTCATAAAAGTTCTTGCTATACTCACCACTATTCATAGTGAAGCACACGCTAGAGAACAGGAGGCCGAAGAGCAAAGCATGCTAGGGACCAGGGAGGAGAGCTGAGCACGTCGGTGATCCCTTGTAGCTTGAGATGGCAAAGCACGGTCGGAGCATGCCTGATTGAGTACACTATAGAGAGGAACGAGTTAGAGTCAGACTCAAGCTTGACCGTAGCCATAGTAGTGCGGCGGACACAGAATGGCGACACAGCAGTGCTCCGGACGATACAACATGGTAGAGGTTAGTCGAAGGGCTCAGGCAGCATCAGTAGCTCACCGTGATGTCGATGCGCTGCTTGGTTGAACCAGGGATGAGGCGGAGCTAGATGGCTAGCGGCGATGGCGCATGCAGCGGCGTGAACTAGTGGCGAGGTCACATTGCGGCTCGACCGGCGTGTTAGAGGTAAAAGATTGGAGCCGATGAGCATCATGGAGCTGTAGGAGAGCTAAAACAATAAATGAGATCACCATAGGAGCGTCAAAATGAGTTGGCCATGGTGAGCTACCCATGGTGGCCATGGTGGCATGGCTGCGGTGGCAACCGACGCCTAAGGTGATTGCGGTGGCGAGAGGTGGCTACAACGGTTCGAGGAGGACAGCAAGAACTAGGTGGAGCTGGGAGCGCATGAAATTGGGAGAATATGGAACAACGGTAATGAATTTCTCCATTGAGCGGCGTGGTTGTGCTCCGGTAGAGAAGAGGGAAATAGAGGAGCGTCGGTGGTTCGAGCTTACCTATAGTTCAAGAAGGCGGTGCGGTCCTCACCGCCCACCGCCGCCTGCTGCAGTAGCGCACGCCCCGGCTGCCACTCGCCATAGCAGCACGCCACTTCGACCGCCGCCCGCCTACGCGCCGCGCCTCCACCCGTGAGAGTGCTAGCCAACTCCGGCTACCGCCCACGTGCCTCAAAGCAGCAAGCCTACGCCGCGCGCAACAACAGCCAGTGACACCCGCATAAGAGGCGCACAACAACGGTCACTGCCCGCAATGTTCCATACGCGCCAAGTATGCAGGCCACTCCCTCTACCTGTTAGCATGTGCCAACGGCTAAGTACACAGGCAAAGTACTACAGACGTGCGTTATTAACACGCGTCTGTAGCAAGGTTGGACCAAATTAAATATATATTTGCCTCTGTCTCTCTCGACTCTACCTCACTCTGTCTGCCTCACTTCTTCTCGCTACCTTCCTCCGTCACCACCGCCAAGCTCTCCGTCCCTTCTCCTAGCTTGAGACGTGATGTCTCATTTCGCAGAGTTGTCTAGAGGTGGATGGGCAAGGAGTAGGCTTCAAGGTCCCCACAGCACCCGCATTGGCTCTGAGTATGGCGTTGTTCTAGATCCAATTGGTGAGCTCAACGGGTTCCCGCTGATCCCTTGCCCGGATTGTAGTCTTGCTTGGGTGGTGGAGGGGCAGACCAAGAAGGATGGTAACAACCACGGCCGACTCTACTTCAAGTGTGCTAGGAATGGGGTGAGTTCTTTGTAGTGTTATGCCCCCAATTTGCACAGTTAGGGTTCTAATTTGTGGTTGTTTTTTAGTTTCCTAAGCTGTGTGGTTACTATCGATTCGAAAAGGAGTACTTCCAGCAGTTGAAGGATCGTGGCCTCATAATTGTTCACCCTTCGAATTGGGTAGAGCTGCTGGATGAAGAAGAAGGTTCAGTGGACAGTCCAAATGGCAACACCAAGAAGAAAAACTTGGAGCAGAAGCTAGAGAAGTTGAAGTGGAAGATGAACATGTTTATTGTGTGTGTTGTCCTTAGATGTGTTTTGATGTATGCTGTAATGAAGTAATCCCCAATGCATTGATTGAATGAATGAAACTGGATGTAACTGGATGAATGAATGAATGGAATTTCGTGTCCAAATTTGTTGTGTAGATGTTGAATGCAACTGAAATGATGAGTGAACATAGTGACAATGCAACTGAAATTTGTCCAAATTTGATGTCACTTGTGAATGTGAAGGATGGAAATTTTTATTCCTTAATTAATCTAATTGAATCATATTCCAATAGGAATTAATAAGCTAGCAGTTATGCTACAGACGCGTGTTTGGAAAATGCGTCTGTAGTAAATACAAGAACAAAACGAGGGGCAGCCTAGGGAACTACAGACGCGTTTATGTGGTTTATGTGGTTCACACCGCTACGACGTTCGCCATTCCCACAGCCGCGTGGAAACTTCAAGAGACACGCTCATAAAATCCCACCTCTCCACCTTGCATTGCTGCCCACCTTCATTCAAGAAACACGGGAACTCACCTTTTGCATTGCTCCTAGTGATCCACCTCTCCCTGGCATGCTCAACTCTCTACCTTCACGTCACTCCCCCTGACCACCGCCACTACCGCTGCCATGGAGAAGCTTCCACCGGAGCTAGCTAGCTGAGGTGCGAGCCACGTCACCAAGACCATAGCGGATCCCATGGAGGACCTCGCCAGCCTCGGCATTGTGTTCACAGATGAGAAGGGCATGCAGCGATGCCTCGTGGGACGGAGCATACCACTAGAGCCGGTACTGCAGCATACGGGCTGGGAGCCCTTCTACTAGCGTGACTATCACACGAACCTCATCACTAGGCTTGCCAGTGTCGGCCACCCGTAGGCCTGCGTCAAAGCTAGGATGTCTGCCGTCTTCGTGGAAGACCGCGGCACTATCACGCAGCGGCTCGATGTGCTAGAGCGTGCCGCTGAGTCAGGGCATGAACTGGCTATGTATGTTCTCTCTCTTGTGCTCCATAGGTCCAACAGCGGTGCCGCCAACGACGCTACTACCCAGCGGTTGTTGTGGAAGGTCGAATGTGACGAAGCGGGCCCGACGGTGAAGAATGCGACGTGGAAGAACAAGAACTGTTCACGCGTCGCCAACAGGCAAGGGTGGTGTTGCAGGACGACTTGGTGGTGCCACACCGTGCAGCGAGGCCTGATCTGCCTCCTCTAGCCCATCCGGTGCCTCGCTAGGACATGCATTAGTGCCGAGGTGGAGGCTGCGGCGACATCGCCGAATGGGTAGCATGGGAGCAATGGGCCCTGTTTTGCAGCGAAGTGTGTAGGATCCACAATGAGTGTCTTAGGTTCTTCCTTGATTGCCAGTGGGCATGAGTGTTGATATGTATATATATCTGGATGACATGATAAAAACTTTTGCTTTTGGTGATGGTTGATGTTCGATCCTGAGTAGCAGTGATGAAAACTAAGATGTTTTAGTTGTAATTCATGTTATATTGCTATTTGTGATGGTTCGATCCACACTACTCTATTGAGCCGCCTCTACAAATAAACGTTGAATTTTAAAAATTAACTACTAAAAATTGAATTTTTCAAATAACCTCGGATGGAGAAAGAACCAAAATAAAAGTTGTAGATCCCAAAAAGCCATAAAACTTTGTAGTTGACAACTTTTCATTTGAAATCATCTTGTCATGGAAAACTAAGTTTGAATTTCCAAAATTTTGAAATTTAAATTTTTTAAATGACCTCAGATGGAGAAACTACTAAAATAAAAGTTGAAGATCTCAAAAAGTTATGAAACTTTGTAGTTGACAACTTTTTGATTTGAAATCATTTTGTCAACCAAACTAAGCATTCATCATCAAAAAATTTCTTGTTACAGACGTGTGTTGTAAAAACACGTCTGTAGTAGTAAAATAAAAGGTAAAACATTTGTACCCCTTTGGGGATCAATCCTGAGACCTTCAGTCCCACACCCCCGTGAGTTAACCATTGTGCTACATTCGTAAGTTCAAACGGGGAGCGGTGTTTATTTTTTAAAAGGTTTCTAATACATTAAAATAGGGTGGCGATGGGGCCATCCTGTTAGGGTCCTACTTCGGACCCGTGTTATTAACAATCGTCTGTAGTAAGCCAATTGAGGAACTGGCCACAGACGTCCGCATCCGAAGGGCGTCCGTTCACCACTCCAATAGAGAGAGGAGTGTCAGTTCAAAGCATTGGAACTGCCACTCCTTCACTCGCATTCACTCTAGCCTCTCGTCTCTCCACTCCTCTCTTGCCTTCCCCATCGCCCGCGCAACCGCCTCCACTCCTCTTGCCTCCTTGGCTAGCCACCACAGCCGTACATGCAGCTACCGCTATCAAAGATGATGAGGCCAGAGAGGCGGCACAACCTGAGGGACGAGAAGATGGGGAGGTTCACCAACCATTCCTCATCCTCGGTAGTGGTGAAGGAGGAGGTGAGCCCCCTGCCGGGGTTCGAGAAGACGCCGGCCTTCAAGAAGGCCGTCCCAGCCACCCCGCTAGGGTTGAAGAAGAAGGCTGCCATCATCACTAGGAAGGAGAAGCACCTAGTGGCGTTGATGAAGGAGAAGTAGTTGGCGGCGGCGAGGAGGAAGGAGAAGAAGGCCTTGCCCGCCTCATCCTCTCCTATGAAGAAGAAGGCCAGGCAAGACATGCCGTCTTCCTCGGCTGCGGCGCCCTCATCCTCGGTGGCGTTGAGGGCAACAGTCAAGAAGCCGGCGGTGGTGCTCATGGTGAACTCAGATAGTGAGGAGGAAGGAGAACCCATGGAGGCGAATAGGAAGGAGAGGAAGGCCACACAAGCGACAGCGGCGGTGGCCTTCTTCCTCGGCCGGCGCCAATGGGAAGCGGCTACCAAGATGTATGACCACTGCTTCGAGGGAGGAGCCAGGATGTGCCGTTTATGGCTCTGCGACAGCATCAACTACGGCAAAGTTGGCTGTTCAAGCTCCACTTATAACCAGGTAATGCACACTCTTTAGATTATGACTGCTTATATGTAGGTTTTCTTTCTTAATTTCAAGACAATTTTGTTGGTAGCCTCTAAATTGGATGAGTTTGTTGCTAAAATAATTTAGCTCATGCCATTCTCTCATCCCAGACCCAGATGGAGCAGAGAAAACAACTTAGTGGAGAATAAATGCATATGCAACTCAAGTTTTTATACAAGCAATATAAACTGTCATATATTGTATTTTGCAGCAGCATTATGATTTGAGTAGATTGCTTTATCTAGATGTTTATCATAGATCAATGATTTTAATCTCGTGAATAATTTTGATGGTGCCACTTCAATATTTCAGCATTGTGATTTGAGTAGATTGGTTTTCATCTCTTTGGGGGTAGCTCTAAGTCTTTATGTGCATTGTTAGCAACAGCTAGATGTTTTATTTTTCTAATTTGCTATGATTCTGGTGTTCACAAGGTAATGGACTTTGTAGCCTATAATTGATTATATGAAACTTATATGATTCTGATATGTATGATGGATAATGAAACTTATATGAATGCAAATGAAACTTATATGTAGGTTTTTTGTCATAGTATCTAGATTTATGTTGGATTTTCATATATGTTCCTATAACTGTTTCTGTGCATATAGGTTCGATCTTATCAGCTCCCTCTAAGTACCATGCACGAGGCCCTACAGGCAATGGTTCTAAAACCCATCATGAAGAGCATAGGCAGTCTTCAGCGGAGTGTTGACGAACTCAAGAAAGAGAAGGCTGAGAACAAAGGGAACAAGAAGCGTCTCAAGAAGAATATGGACAACCTTGGTGACCACCTGGCGTCCGTGGTTCAGAATGTGCATGACCTCCAAAGCAAGTTGCAGGGCACCATGCCTCCACCGCCGGTGAACAACTAATGATGATGTGATGTTGTGTTAACTTTTGCTGATGAAACTATGTGAATGTAAACTCTGTGATGACGTACTTTTGGTGATGATATAATTACTGTGATGAAGTAGTAAAACTCTGTGATGCAAACTCTGTCACATACTTTGGCTAGAAATGCATCTATCTATATATTATTACATATATATTATTGCTGGTTTGTCAATGGCTAGAGTGAAAATGGAAGAATATAAGAAAATTCAACAATGCTTTAGTAATAAAAATCACATTTTTTCAGTAGACTTAGTTCACATTGCAAGTTTCACACAAGCAACTTCATCACAGTTTCACACAAGCTCACCATTGTTCACAGAGAAGCACACGCCAGAGAACAGAAGGCCGAAGATGAGAGTAGGGAGGACTAGGGAGGAGAGTTGAGCACGCCGGCGATCCCCTACTCGAGATGGTGAAGCACGGTCGGAGCACACCTGATCGAGTACACAACATTGAGGAACGAGTTAGAGTTAGACTCGAGCTCGACCACAACCATGGTGGTGCAACTGACATAGAACGGAGGCGCGGTGGCCGGTGCTCCAGCAGATACAACATGGTATAGGTTAGTCTAAGGGCTTAGGCAGCATCAGCAGCTCACCGCGATGTCGATGCACTGCTTGGTTGAACTGGGGACGAGGCGGAGCTAGAAGGCCGACGGTGATGGCGCATGTGGCGGCGCGAACTGGTGGCGAGGTCACCGATCTACCACGACCTGCGCTGTAGAGGTAAAAGAATGGAGCTGATGAGCATCACAGAGTTGCAGGAGAGCTAAACAATAAACGGGGTCACCAGAGGAGCGCCAGAATGAGCTGGCCATGGTGAGCTGCCCATGGAGGCCATGGTGGCATAGCCATGGCGGCAACCAATGCCGAAGGCGATTGTGGAGGCGAGAGGTGGCTACAGTGGTTCGAGGAGGACCGCAAGAACTAGGCGGAGCTAGGAGCGTGGGAAATTAGGAGAAGATGGAACAACAGTGATGAATTTCGTCGTCGAGCGGCGCGGCGGTGCTCTGGCAAAGAAGAGGAAAAGAGAGTTGTGTCGGCGGCTCGAGCTTAAGACTTGCTCACCTACGCCGGGATGCCTACATGGCATGGCCCTAAGGCCACCCACCGCCACCCGCTGCAGCAGCGAGCCCTTCCGACCTGTCGCCCACCACAGCAGCGCGCCCCACCGGCTGCATGCGGTCGCGCTGTGCAACTCCGGCTGCCGCCCGCCTCCCACCGCCCGCGCTCCTCAAAGCCACGCAAGAGCCACTGCCCGTTGTGTTCTGTATGAGCCAAGTACCTCCCTCTGCCCGTTAGCATGTGCCAACGGCTAAGTACGCAGGCCAAGTACTACAGACACGCGTATGAAACACACATTTGCCACAAAGTATAGACACGTATAGAGCAGGACGCGTTTGCTATAAGTAGGATTACGCGTCTGCAACAACATACACGTCTGCACTAAGAGATCTTACTACAGACACGTGTCACATATGCGCGTCCATAGAGTTTGATCCCGTTATCCGAGACTAGGAATTCACAACACGCGTCTGAAATAACTGCTGCACATCTAGACGCGTTTTATATACACGTGTCTATAGATTTAGCTCAGACGCGTTTTACCAACACGCGTCTGCAGTAAGCGCTTATTACATACGCGTGTTGACATTGTCGGACTGGCGACCCCCACCGGCGACTTACTATAGATGAGCGTCAGGAAGACGCGTCTGTAGTTGTACTATAGCAGACACGCTTTACTGGTCGTGTCTGTGGTGAGGTGGTGGATATGCAGCTGTTTTACGTAGTGTGAAATAAAGTCAAAATTAAAATAGCAGGTTTTTATTTTTATACGGTATAATATAAGCTAGCGTTTGTTCAGTAGCTTTCCTGTGCTTGCTTGGACGAACAGCAGGAGCCGTGCACGCATGTAGGGCCATGCGGTGACAAGTCATCTTGTTGGGTCAATCAGTCATAGATCCACGCCGTCGTAACTCGTAAGGTTAAGGAATGGAACATCTGAAAAGAGTACGTAGCAACCTGTGTAGCACGACTGCACAACCCGTGCCATGCGTGTGTCGATGGCCGCACGTGTCAAGGATGGGCGTTCGTGGGTCTCTAGCCGAAAAAAATTGGTGCAAATTGTATTCATCGTACCTTCCTACATATATGCCATGGATAGTTGTCACATGTGCAGTCAACGTGATGCAACCGCACGCCTAGAAGATTTTCTCACATATCCGCATGGGGCTTCGGTTGCCTCCCACGCCCGCTGCTTTTCCGCCCATAGATCATGTTAACTAAACATGTGGCAACCATCCATGGTATGTATGTAAGAAGGCACGGTGGATACAGTTTGCACCGACCTCTAACCGCAAGCAAGGAGCGGTGACGGCTGCGTGTGCAAGCCACGGATAAACTGCATACGCTCATTTCGTCGCAAAAAAAACTGCATATGGTCGCTGCCACACAAACGTGGTATTCCCTTCGCTGCCGAAAATAACTATCCACTACTAAATTTTTTTCCCTAACCATACTTTCACTGTAGGTTTTATAAAAGCCACAAGTGATAATCTTCACCACCTAATTATAGTACGAACTATGATGAAAATAATTTTCATTGTCTTTTGTATTATGAACCGTGGGCGAAAATAAAGTGATCTTCACTAACAATTGATAATATGAACCAACGGTGAACATTAGTGACATCATATCTCTACATGTGCTTTCTCAGGGTGATTGATAGGCGGGCTCACTCACCCATGTGTCAGCCTATGATTGGAGTGTGAAAGCATCTAGGCCCCTAGTGAGTTTCAGTGATTAATGACGACATAAGATTATTATGACTAACATATGTTTTGCAGAGACAATTTAAATTAGGTCCGATAATGGTGATTGTTTGGGCAATCAAAGGTTTTCATGCCCTTGTCGATGGAAATCGTTTCAGTTTTCAAAGGATGAACGACAGGGTTAAGGACATACTAGTTCTAAGTGTTGTTTGGCATTGAGAGATACTTAGAGTAGTTTAAGACTTTGTTTTCCTTTGGCATACTATTAAGGGGGTATGAACTAGTAGTTTAATCTAGGTGAGTCTAATGTGTTAGGTGTGGTGCACACTTGTCAAACACTAGGTAGCTCAGGGACAACCCAAATATCAATTGGAGTAAAACTCATTCACAAAGAACTTTGAATTAGAAGTGCATAGAGTGTTGACAGAGGGACCGAATGCTGATGCTTGGGGCATCGGATACGTCCGGTCAGTGTATGTGCAACGAAGTGAGGGTTCAGTACTACACCGGACGCAAGTACTGAAGCTGACCGAACGCGCCTGCAGTACTGTAACTCATAAGGCTCTGCGTTCAAGGTGCACCAGACGCTGGCCAATGATGACCAGATTGGTATGCCAGCGTCCGGTCACAAACAGAGAGGTCCTAGAGACAGGTTTTCAGCACAGGATGTGTCCGGTCAGGTGGCATCGGATGCCATAGGATTCAATGGCACAGTAATGAAGCACCTTGGGATGCTGACGTCATCGAGCCGTTGGCTAGTGACTAGACGCGTCCAGTCCACTATGTAGCGTGTCTAGTGGCTGCATGTTTTGCTGAGTTGGACTTCAACGGTTATGTACTTGTGAGGGGGGTATTTATACTTCCCCAACTCGTCCATTCTAGCACTCTTGCTCATTTGTTCAGCTGAGAAACACCTTTGGAGTTCAAGGGAGTGCAAGAGCCTAATGGGGTGATTGAGATTTGATAATCTAAGATTGAGGACCTCATTAGTGCATAGAGAGTAGCAAGTGTGCATCCACCTTCCTCATTAGGCTTTGGTCAAGTGAGAGTTTGTGCTTGTTACTCTTGGTGATCGCCATCACCTAGATGGCTCGGTGGTAATTGGGAGCTTGGTGATCATCTAGTGGTGAATGTGGATGACCCAACTCAACTTGTGAGCGGCTGTGGGCTATTCTCCGCATCAGAGAGACAAAGAATAAGCCCATAGAGAGCACTTGATCCTTTCATGGATCAAGGGAGACCTACACCCTTACGCGGGTGCTCCAACGAGGACTAGTGGGGAGTGTCGACTCTTCGATACCTCGGGAAAACATCGTTGTGTTCCTTTCCCTCTCTTTACTTTGAGCATTTATATTTTAGCACTTACTTTCATGTCTTTATATTCTTAGAATTGCCATGCTAGAATTGGATTGGAACCTAGGGAGCAAAACTTTTATGCGGTAGAACAATAAAGAATACTTCTAGGCAAAAGTGGTGAAATAGACTAAGTGTTGGGCTTAATTATTGTAAGAAATTTTAGATTAGCCCAATTCACCCCACTTGGGCATCTTGATCCTGTCGACACAGAATTTTCGTCTCCGTGCCGAGGACACACGCAGCAAGCCGGAAGGGTCCGCTCGATGGAGTAGATCCACCTAGCTTCAGCGCAAGGGTGGTCTATCCTGCGCAATCCTCCCGAGACGTGCCAGTCAATTGGACCCTGCAATTGATAAGAAGAGAAAGCTCATCAGTAATTAAGGGTAGAACGTGCCGGTGTTGCCAGACAATCCCGAATGTGCGGCTCTGAGAGCCGATATGAGAGGAGATCGACTAAATAGTCGATTCCAGCATATTCATAAGAATAAATCGATTAAAACTCATCGGGTTGTATAAGAAGAATCGGTTATCATTCAGGATAAATATTATTTAAACAAATATTAATCAATGGCAATAAGATATAAATGATCATCGGTTTATACTGAGCCAATGATTACAAGTAACCGAACTCCTTTTTATATAAAGAAACAATTCAACACTATTTAACCATTTAATAAAGATAAATCTAATGAACATGTTAGATCTCATCTATCGCCATGACCAGTGGGGCATGAGGCAGAATCATGCAGGTCGTAGAAACAACAATAGACTCGATGACCCTAACTCATTACTAATATCAGTGGAGCATGAGGCAGAATCATGCAAGCCATAATACAATAATAAGATCATGGG